ACCATACTCACTCACCACCCTTTGAGACCAGAGGCCGTATTTATCAAACAACTTAGTTTTGACAAAGCCAAAGTTGATATTTCACGAAACGTCTAAGTAGAAAAATGACAAACTTAAGTATAAGTCTATTGATAAATAGGACTTAAGTTTTTCCACTTAACTTAAATCAATAAAGCAAGAAAGCTAAGTTTTATAACTGACTTAAGTTTTATTTATGACTTAAGTTGTTTGATGAATACCGCCACAGAGCCCTAACGTTACCAGACGGCGTTGTCTTATGGCAAAAACAAACGTGACAATGCTTTGTAGCTAGCCACTCCCAGCACTGCTGGTGGTGATAGGGATATTGATGTGTTTTTAATGATGTAATATACATAACGATATCACGCTCCTGTCCAAGATCATATGGCTGGTTAATAAGCATGAACCGATTCATATCTGAAAGATCATTTCATAGCATAGGGTCTCACTTTCTGTAATGGCAGCGACATTAAAATACCGAAGTATTATTTCGCCGAGATATATTGAGTTTTCATGTCATGGAATTTATGAGCGGATCTAACACGAAATTAGGTGACTTAGCAAGAAGAAGGACGCCAATCTTAATGTGTGTCCAATAAATGCCGTATCTCCCTAGCGCAGGTTAGATTCCTCCGTGGAAGGTGTCGATATCATTTATATAGAAGGAAATTAACATGCTATCAACACCTTTATTGCCGTCAGCTGATCTAATATCCTAATCATTCTGTGGCATTCTGTACCGTAGTAATTCCATATAATCGAATAGAATATCTGAAACAAGAGATATATATGGTTATAAATTGAAATATTCACCAACTGGGAATACTGTCAGCTAAGATTAAATTCAAGTGATCTTTAATGGATTTAATATACTGTATGTTTTGTGTCTAGTATAATATTCTAGGTCTGAATAGGAACCCCCAAATCCCACGCGATCGAAGCCTTGTTCGTGTTTTGTAATGAATGTGATATCCGAATTATATATTGCGTATCTCAGGTTTGAAAAAACATGATGCTTTAGATTGAAAGTGCATAGTTGTTTATATTATGATTTTTTGCTAAAGATATTTATTTATTATTTTGTTGTGGGGTGTTGGGTGAGTGTAATCTTATAATCAACTACCGATTAATAGAACTTTATGGGTTCTCGTTTTCATTGAACTTTCAGTCCTGGCTTATTTCGGTCTGTTTGAGACGCAGTAGGTGACTATTTAAACACCCGAGTCTTTTGATAATCATACGGTATATGTCATACTGCTGCATGACGCATTTGTGAATGGCAGTGTGAATATACATGAAGCACATGACACAATCGAAGATCCGGGGTGGAAGAGGTCTTCAGCAACCCATGATTGCTGTAAAAAGTGATTTTGCCCGCCGTGAGAGGCGACTAAAGGGATTGGGTGGTCAGGCTCGCTGACTTGGTTGATGCATGTCATCGTATCCCAATTGCGTGGATCGATGCTCATGATGTCAATCACTGGATTGTCTGTTCCAGACTCGATTATTTACAGACCGCCGTCATATAGCTGGAATATTGCTGAGTGCGGCGTTAAACAACAAAGCAAAGAATACAATATCAAAACAATAACATTTTGAAATGGTCGTGTGTCTTCGTCCCCGCTTCGCCCCAGCTCTCATAGCCTCAGAGTGTGTGAGTGAGTATGGTTTTTACGCCGCTTTTAGCAATATTCCAGCAATATCACGGCGGGGGACACCAGAAATGGGCTTCACACATTGTACCCATGTCGGGAATCGACCCCGGGTCTTCGGCGTGACGAGCGAACGCTTTAACCACTAGGCTACCCGACCGCCCCCAATAGCCTCAGAACAGGGACTGGTGTATGCATTACATTGCTACAAGTCAGTACTGCAATGCATGGCATATTGAAGATGAGAAGATGATATGATAGTTTGTGCAAATCATTTCGAGTTATATACATAACTATGACTATATTGGCCCAAAAAGCCAATAACTGAACACGCTTATACCATCTCCAAAGACGCATGTCAAACAACTAGCTATGTCTCTACTCTGCAAGCTGTGTAATGAATGCTTCACTGACTAGACCTGTATGCATGGAAATGAGCGGTCTACATTCTTCAACCGGCTCATATGAGACTGGCACTGCTCCGACTCATGAATGATCAACCTGGGGAAACGTATCGACCACAAATCCAAATCAATTTCACTTGCATTAAAAAGCTAGACTTATTCATGTTAAATGTATTTCAACTTGAGCCGGTCTCGAAAATGAAACCAGTATTTTATTAGTCACCCCCCGAGACGATCCACTCGTCGCCATGTATATCCACGTGCAAACTGTCCTTTGACACCAGACTACTGCAAACGGGCTTCTTGTCATATGAAGCGGCAGACATAGACACGCGGGCATGAGGATGTCCATTCCTATGGCTGGACGTCGCAGTATGTCCGTGTATACTACATGCCTGGACATTAGAAGGTTAAAGGTAAGGCTGGGTTATTTTATAGTAGAAACCCAAAGACATCCGTCCAAATATCTTGTATGAAAAATAGACATTAGTTTAGAAACTAACAAGCCAAGCGTTCAAGACCCGTGGACTGTAGTATTGTTTAGGGCAGCTTCGAATCATATTACTAACTCGTTCAGAACAAAAAACGCCTTTGAAAGGCTGGGATACGTTTTGTTTGTTTGTTTAACGCCACATTCCGCAATAATCCAGCTATATGACGCCGGTCTGTAAACAAACGAGCCTGGACCAGACAATCCAGTGATTAACATCACGTGCATCGATCCACGCAATTGGGATACGATGACATGCATCAACCAAGTCAGAGAGCAAGACCACCCGATCCCGTTAGTCGCCTCTTACAAGCATGGGTTGCTGAAGACCTATTCTACCCCGGATCTCCACAGGTCCTGCGATACGTGGTATCGTTTATACTAATATCCTACTCTTCTTACAGGGGTAGCTCGTTGGTACGGGTGTTTGATTTGCATGTTATGATGTGGGTTCTGTTCCTCTTTATTAGTAAACCAGAATCATGTTGTCACCAGATTGCGGGGGTGAAAAAACCACTATGGTATTTCGTTTGTTCGATATCACAACTGGAGATCGTGTTTAGTGTTATTGCGTTCCAAATCCCTTTAGAAAATATGCTTGTCTTTTCTTTGTTATTTGACAACGCACTCAAGAATATTTCAAGTACATGAAGGCGGTCTGTAAATAGTCGAGTCTGGACCAGACAATCAAGTGATTGACATCATGAGTGAAATTATACTGTTCACCTTATCCAGTCACATCCAGACGATCTCGTCCCATTCAAACCCTGCATAAACCTTTAAAACTAATCACCAACGCCCGACGTGTAATGTTACAATCAAATTGTTATTATCGTCTTCTACATAACCTCGATTTCTATAGTGTACCCAGACCTAACAGCACCACATTCCATACTTGTGTTTTTATCCACCACAGACTCATACACACGTAACCAAACCCGGCATCTCTAGAGTACTTGTCTCGGGGTCAAGGCCTGCGTGGTATATACATTCGGCCCCACAAAAGATATACCGCTGCACAGAACGCAGTGCGGTTTGTAGGGGTATCGATGCTACAATTACATGGTATTTATGCCATGAATGGCGGGCTATTGTTGGTGAAGTGACACCCAATTAAAGTAAGCTCCAGTAACCTGTTACTTGGTAACTGATAATATCAACTTTATCAGTGTTGGTTGGGTTTAACGCCGCTTTTAACAGCATTACAGTTATATCACGGCGGGTCAGCTTAATGTGGGAGGAAAGCCCGAAGTGATGCAGGTCTCAGACGTTTACCACTTCGGTGAAACCCACGAGCACGGGTATGGTGCTGACAAATCTAGAAACATAATTGGGCGAACCGGGATTCGAACCCACAATCATAGGTTTCTGGCGTGCCCAAGGGACGCAACTCTGCACAGCGAATCGCGGCACCTTAGACGACTGGGCCACCCGTGCCCCCCTTAAGTTTACCAACTGTGATTTGTTATATCACATGTAATCATTATTTTTTGTATGCTTAAACACAATCACCGGAGATAGACCTACTGTTTTCAATGTGAAGGTTCTCAAAGTAAATTTAATACCTGTAAATGGCATTCGAAACCGTACGTGATAGCTTGATGTTTCAAATTTGAAAATAATACGGGTGTCAAATGGAATTCAAGACGTTCAGGTCGTATATGTCCCAATACATTACGGGGCTTGGAATCTCTAGTGGACCAAGAAGCCGAAATTCAGAGTGCAGAATGTGTCGCTGATTTGTGCTAGGATACGCTGGTTGCGGGTTCGAATCCAGAATCACTGCGAGTATGACCTTTAGGCGGTCTGCACCATGCGAAGGACGAGCATCACTGTGGTATTGTCTTCAACGTTAAACAGTTAACACAATCAGGAAACATATGGTTCGGCCCGGCATCCTCGATTATCCAGTGAAGTGAGTGAGTTTGGTTTTACGCCGCTTTTAGCAATATTCCAGCGATATCATGGCGGGGACACCAGAAATGGGCTTCACTCATTGTACCCATGTCGGGAATCGAACCCGGGTCTTCGGCGTGACGAGCGAACGCTTTAACCACTAGGCTACCCGACCGGCACTTTATCCAGTGTAAATTCGTATGAAATGGAAATAGAGTACACTGGATAATCGAGGATGGAGTGGTAGATGAGGTGAAGACAGCTCTGTCCGTATAACAATGACAACTTCACAGGAATGAACGTGTATGTTCCTATGTTGTTTGACACAGTCTGTAAAATATTCGAGTCTGGACCAGACAATCCAGTGATTGACATCATATGAGCATCGATCCACGCAATTGGGATCGATGACATGTACCAACCAAGTCAGCGAGTCTGACCACCCGATCCCGTTAGTCGCCTTTTACGACAAGCATGGGTTGCTGAAGACCAATTCTACCCCGGATCTTCACGGGTCTGTTCCTATGTATGTTGTAGGTGCTCGTACACCCGAGGAAACGGTTTAAGCGCTACATCCGCCTGGCCCTCATCTGTATCCGGCTGTGCAATACAAGTTACCAGAGGTGAGGGATAACATAGACACAGGACCACGCCGCGTTAATAGCATTTTAGTTGTTTGTTGTTTTGCGCCGCACTAAGCAATATTTCATCTGTATGACGTCGGCCTGTAAATAATCGAGTCTGGGCAAGAGTGAGTGAGTAGGGTTTTACGCCGCTTTTAGCGATATTCCAGCAATATCACAGCGGGGGGCACCAGAAATGGGCTTCACACATTGAACCCATGTCGGGAATCGAACCCGGGTCTTCGGCGTGACGAGCGAACGCTTTAACCGCTAGACTACCCGACCGCCCCGAGTCTGGGCAACACAATCCAGTGATTGATATAATGAACAACGATCCACGCATTCGGATTCGATGTCACAAAATCACCCAAGACACAGATACTGACCACAGGAAATGGATGATAGCGTGTTTAGGATAATATATTCGAAAATCACACCCCTCTATATACATATAGACAAGGAGTGACACCCGCAATCTTGGTCCTTATTCAAGATTTCGCACTCGGTTCGAATCACAGCTCGATATCGCATGAAATATGAATGTCACATATTTTAACCTATTGACACCAGCTAAAGAAACCATAGGCTACAAAATCGTGTTTAACTATGATCACCTTACCTCGTATTTATTTTAAAACAACCATCAAGTCTCAGCTTTAAGCTTCGCCGCTGAAATAAACAAGAAAAAGGTGGCCGGAAATTACGGCGCTACACGGACTTAAACTCAGCAAACGTTTCTGATTGGTTAAATTGTGTATCATAATATTAGCAGTGGTGAAGAGAGGGAAATTCAAGACCGCCAATGATAATCTGCTTCGAAATGTTTAATTATGTTGTAGACTTCCTTATCAACTCAAACATTTTGCAAGCAGGCTAACCATTGACGGTTTTGAATTTCCCTCCCTTCACCGTGTGCTAATATTTAGCTCAAATATTTTGTATTTTAGCCAATCAGAAACGTTTGCTGATTGGCAAAAGATGGTGCTTTTTGTTTCCCTGCCTGGCGCTCGGCATTAAGGTAACTAAACAAGGACTGGTCGGCTCTTAGTCAGTATACTGTGTCTGAGTGATGTATCCATGTTAAACTGCGGCATGGTATCTAGGTGGGCTAGCACTATACATAGATCCGGTATTTGTCCGGGCTAGTACAAGCAGCCACACACTCACGCGCGCACGCACGCGCGCGCCGCTTTAAGTGCAGTAATCTTGAACGCAAATCTCAAGTTATATTGCTCAATACCGCATCAACAATCCTGAAGCTATTCGCGGCGAATATCAATAAGTATATGGATATGAACATTATTGTGATTGTGCAACTTGAATGCTCTTGCAAATGTGAATGTAACTAATTAAAAAACTATTTTTGTAGTAGTATTTTGTGTAGTAAACAAAGTGTAGGTATTTGCTGTTGACAGTGTGAAGGAATCAGGTGATGAGTTCCTGTCGGTCATCCAGGTGTCCCAAGACTATGCTACTATCGACAGAGACGGCCTGTTCTTTGATACCAACGACTTTAAGGCTGATACACAGGTAGGAGTGACGTCAGTGACATGCCTTTGTTATCTGACTGTGTTGTATCTCGTACAGATCGTCCTCACATACAATCCCTCCCAAGGACATTGTGTCAAATCCCAGTGATTTTATGAAACACCCTGTTGCGTTATTTTCGCATTAACCGTTCATAAAATATATCCCGTTACTGGAATTTGAACCTAATCACACCGCACGACATTTCGCGAATGATTCTCCCCTCGCAACCACTGGGGCCTTATGCTCGGTGAAAGTTTTTAAAGTGTCGCATGTAATTATTTGCAGTGTGTAACTAAATAAATGATGTTTTTTTTTGCTGTTAATTTGGTATGTACAAATAGTATCTGAGTGTTTCATACACATACATTGCTTTAGAACTACATTTTTGAAAGAAATAGCTATTATCTGGAGAATTGTTTATATTATAACCGTTTAAGAAAATATATAAACATAGATATACATAATGTTAGAGTGTTATAAAGTTATATAAGTAGATTAAAAGAGGAACCTAATCTAAGGAATAAAACCCCTGGGCTATCGTTGAATCTTTTTTTTCTTTCTCTACTGTGGATTTAAATATCTTGAAAACCTTCGTACGTATTTAATTCGTTACATGGATTCTCCTGATCCAAACGACAAGAACAACAGGTAATCGTAAGTCGGCATTCTCGGTAGAAACAGTCCACAGTCAACGGAATTATTTTCATAAACAGAATTATTAATTTTTGTATGTTATTTCAGGACCGTGTACCCCAGGAGGCCAAAAGAATTCTTCAGATGAAACCGGAGGAAAGGTCCCTCAGAGACGTTCAATACGTGAGCTTGCACGGCATGATATCCCTTAAATAATACGGGGGCGGTCGGGTAGCTTAGTGGTTAAGGCGTTCGCTCGTCACGCCGGAGACCCGGATTCGATTCCCGACATTGGTACAATGTGTGAAGCCCATTTCTGGTGTCCCCCGCCGTGATATTGCTGGAATATTGCTAAAAGCGGCGTAAAACCATACTCACTCACTCACTCACTCACTTAAATGATACGTATTAATGGGAGACGATACGGAATGAGTATCAGGTCAGGGTAGTTAACAAATGGTAGTTTAAAATAAAGCACGTAAGCTCGGCCTTAGTTCTAAAGTTTACACCCACATGTACAATGACTTTAGATCTTAAGTTGGCGCTTGGGTCGCCAAGTGGTTAACGCGTTCGCTCGTCGCGCCGAAGACCCGGGTTCGATTTCCCACATGGGTATAATCTGTGGAGACCTTTTCTGGTGTTCCCCGTCTTTATTTTGGTTGATCATGTCTAAAAGGGGTGTAAAACCATACTCACTTTTGGTCTTGCGGTTAATAGGACGTAAAATCTTATAAGACACCCTTAGTTCACAAACCAACTATCGAATTCAAGAGGAATTTTTCATAGAAATGCCCCAAACTAGATATGGATCCATATTCGTAGGAGAAATGGCGTACTATGTATGACGTGTGTCTTGTCCTAGAAATAATTCTTCCAGTCGTCCTGGATGTTGGTTCATATCCTACCTTTGAGCGAGTTGGGTTTAGCGCCGCTTTGAACAGTATTCCAGTTATATTACGGCGTGTCAGCTTTATGTGGGAGGAATGTGAGGCAGGTCTTACATTTACATTTTCGATGAAACCCACGAGCACGGGTATGGTGGTGACAAACCTTGAAACATAAACAGGGCGAACCAGGATTCGAACTCAGGTCATAGGTATCTGGCACAGCTAAGGGAAGCAACTCTTCTCAGCGAATTGCGGCGTCTCAGACGACAGGGCGACCCGTGCCGCCCCCAGGTCGTTCACAGAACAGCGGTGATTCACACCTTATGAGCTTCCAACGAGCATCTCCTTGTTCCTTGTTCCAGGGCGTTGTTTTGATACATGATGTTAACTCGTGTTATTTTAGGACAGCCTCCGTGGTCTAGTGTAGAGCGTCCGCCCGATCCCCGGCTACCGCATACAAAAAGACGTTAAAAGATGGTACTTGTTGGTACCCTGTCTGATGCTCGGGGCTAACACAAGGACTGGTCGGCTCGGAGTCAGTATACTGTATCTGAATGGGGCATTGATGTTAAACTGCGGCATGGTACCTCAGTGAGCTAGCAGTATTAAATCGGCATTAGTCCGGACTGGTACAAACAGACACACACACACGTGCATGCACGTCACTATAGAAGTGCAATAATCTTGAACGCATTTCATCCATGATATTTTAGGGAAAATGTCTTTTCAATGTCATTTCAGTTGGTAATCGTCTTGAGCAATATCCCAGCTTTTGCAGAGTATCCCAGGCGCATGCAGCATAAACTGTGCGCTGTAGGATGGTATGAAGCGTACGTATAATATTCATCACAGGCTTGTAGCCACATCTCATGGCTGGTGATTTACTGGTGATTTTACCATGTATATTCCCTGAAATAATATTACTTGATTCTATTCTACATTTCATTAGATAGAACCTTACTGCTTCCGATATGTGAGGATGTATTTTAGTTTAAAACTCGACCAGCCTCCCACTATCTGTAGCTAGGATGATGACGTAAATCTTCTGTTTGTTTCTTTGTTTTGTTTGTTGTTTAACGCCATACATAGTCCCTGTAACATTTATACATTTCGTTCTCCTAGTAACTTGATGCACGGTCGACCCAATCATATAAGGCGCCGCAATTCGCTGTGCAGAGTTGTGTCCCTTGGGCACACCAGAAACAACGTATCATCGTGTGTTCGAATCCCGGTTCGCTCCGATTTTGTTCCTTTATTTATCAGAACCATACCCGTGCTCATGGGTTTGACCAAAGTGGTAACCGTCTGAGACCTGCAGAATTTCCTCCGACATTAAGCTGCAAGCCGTAATATAACTGAAATACTGTTCAAAGCGGCGTTGGGGGGCACGGGTGACCCAGTCGTCTAAGGCGCCGCGATTCGCCGTGCAGAGTTGCGTCCCTTGGGCACGCCAGAAACCTATGATTGTGGGTTCGAATCCCGGTTCGCCCAACTTATGTTTCTAGGGATGTCAGCACCATACCCGTGCTCGTTGGTTTCACCGAAGTGGTAAACGTCTGAGACCTGCATCACTTTGGGCTTTCTCCCACATTAAGCTGACACGCCGTGATATAACTGGAATACTGTTCAAAGCGGCGTTAAACCAAACTCACTCGCTCACTCACTCACTCAAAGCGGCGTTAAACCCAACTCACTCACTCTCCTTGTAACTCACATCCATGATTGTAAACAGAACCTATTCCGAATATACACCATGACAATAACCACATCACTAGATCTCGCACGCCTGGACACATGTTGTGAGGAGACTTGCTTGCCGTGTGGCGACACATGAGACGACGTCAGACATTCGTGTGACCTGCATTGGGTTATTTTCGTTGTGATCAATTGTTTTTTGCGAGGATCAAATTGAAATACTTGGTTATTTCTGTACCAAGAACAAAGGCCATGTATGTGAAAGTTGTTCCGTGTCTACACAAACAAGTTAACGAAACTATCCTTGACATAACCCCACAACATTCGGATCCGGGGGCACGGATGGCCCAGCTATCTAAGAGTGAGTCAGTATGGTTTTACGCCGCTTTTAGCAATATTCCAGCAATATCACGGCGGGGGGACACCTGAAATGGGCTTCACACATTGTACCCATGTCGAGAATCGAACCTGGGTCGTCGGCGTGACGAGCGAACGCTTTAACCACTAGGGTACCCGACGGCCCCTGTTATCTAAGAAGAGTTGATTCCCTTATGCATTCCAGGATCCTATGTCCGTGGGTTTAAATCTCACGTACGTCCTGATTATGATTCTTGGTTTCTCCGCACCATTCCAATTTTCGTTGATTTCAGTAAAGTTTACTAAACTTGATACGCCGTGATATGACCGTAATACTGTTCATAGCGGGGTTAAACCAAACTCACTCACTCACGCAATTTCCGATCCCTTCTACTCTAACGCTCTTTTAGAATCCCATGCTGATTTTGCATCGGCCAACAAGCGCAATTAAAGTGCATATTGATGAATATAGTGCTGATGCAAATGTAGACCTGAACATTTCGACTGAAAACGTATCTTGTTATGAACCATAATAAGAAACGTATTTTTGGTAAAATAAAAACATCCCTCCTTTTTAATGTTGGTAGCCGATAATTTCAGAAGTAACGGAGATACAGTAAACTACAGGTATATAGCGAACTCAAGGGACCACTAATTCTAGTTCGTTATATCCGTCATTCGTTATAAGCATATAAGCATATATACAGCAAATGGCAGGGACCTAAAAAACAGTTTGTTATATCCGCCAGTTCGTTATAAGCGTACTTGGAGAAACGCCAAACTGTCAAGTATTATCTGTATAAGGCCACAAAAGATAATTATTCGATTTCCATTCATTGTTTTCAAAAATTTGAAGAGGCGGGCTTTTTAATTCTTTATAGTATATTTTTAAAAATAAACTAATCAAGGCATCTGTGCACTAACTGTCCACGGACGTGACATGAAACTACGGATATGGTGTATTGCATCCAGTAAATTATAAAGGAAACACACGTTACGAAGTTTTTTCTTATTCGCTTGTAGGTACATCAATAAAAAAACGAGACATGATGTTTGGTAGTGAGGCAGCCAGGGATGCAGGTCTAGTAATTAATTTATTGTGACCTAATAATGGAATTGTATTTGCGTTTATATACTTATTGCGGTTGTGTTTCAGATACGAACCTAAGAGAGCCATTGTCCGAGAAGGTCATCCGCCGCACTCGTTCTACTTCCTGTTATCGGGGACAGGTAAGATTTGAACAAACAAACACAATGATCAATCACACAGTAAAAATAGTTTAAGCACATTTAAACTAACATGTAATTAGTTTCAGTGTGGCCGCATGAAAACCTTGCGTCAGAAACCATTCCATCATCGGATAAGAACGTGTGAGCCAGCTTGAAGTCCATCATTACGGAACAAGAAGATATGGATTTCATCTTTAGTGTTGTATACGGCTGCGAAGAGGCAAACAGTAGCCCTGAGACGTCATGTTCAACAATAATGAAGTAGAAATGTATATCTTCTTGTTTATGTGATCCGCCTTCACCGTGTGAGATCAAGGCCCACATACAGATCACGGGCAATCAACGTGTATTATTTACGCCAGTAGCTCAGCAGGTGTCGCACGCATCGAAATAAACTAACACTAAGACGGAAAGTCGGTGAAAACATTTCTTTACAATAATTGTAATTTCTTTTTCAAAAGAACCTTTCCTCTCCTGCTGACTTTCTTCTACTGCTTGTGGAATCAGGGAAACTAGACTTGGTTTAGTTTGATCTAGACTTGCCCAGGCTTTTAGTAATATATATACTGTAAACTACGTTTATTACGAACACGCTTATAACGAACTGACGGATATTACGAACTGTTTTTTGGTCCCGTCCATTTGCAGTAAATGGGCTGTATATATGCGTATAACGAACTATGGTTGTAATAAACTAAATTAGTTGTCCCTCTTAGTTCGTTATAACCGTAGTTTGCTGTATATATTCCACAGTCATGGCGCAGAACGATAGTCCGAACTAAAGGATATTTTATGGATTTCAAAGACTGAAATAAGGCAAGATCAAATCTTTTAGAAAATCTTTTTAGACGTTTTATGTGTTCACTTGCATGATACCTGGTTTTGTTATTTCAAACCTCGCATGGTTTGGAATTTTAACATCACTTTTTGTACACAAAAAGATAATGCAAAGTGTGATATTAGAGGTCCTCGTGAAGCATGTTTAAAACAGCTGAACATGAGGGGCGGTGTCTGGATTGATTACGTATCACCGTATCCCGACGGCGCAGCTCCTTTATTGACGAACGGCGTTAATACAGATGGTTATTGGACCCGTAAAAATCCGGTGTAGAGTAGGTCTTCAGCAACCCATGCTTGCCGTAAAAGGTGACTATGCTTGTCGGAAAAGACGTCTAACGGGATCGGGTTGTCAGGCTCGCTGACTTGGTTGATGCATGTCATCGTAACCCAATTGCATGGATCGATGCTCATGATGTCAATCACTGGATTGTCTGGTCCATATTGATTACTTACAGACCGTAGTCACATAGCTGGAATATTGCTGAGTGCGGAATTGAACAACAACAACAACAACAACAACAACAACAACAACAACAACAACAACAAAACTATTTTTTCATTGCACTTAATTCTTTTTATAACCAAATTATTTAGGACTCACGAAGTAACTAGATTCGTTAGGATATTCTTTATTCAACCAAGTTATTTCGGACTCACGAAATGACTATTGCGGCGATGCATGTGTATCTGCGTGTGTTATACCAAGCTTAACTCGGCGACCACGTTTTTTTCCAAATTACTTTCTTTTTTAAGATGTTCCGAGATTTCTTTTAACCTTTACGTTGTCAGACTTGACTGATGGACTTCTAAATCTAGTATATTAAACCGAGTACTATATTGAAATAAATGGTGAATGCCAATGTATTTATAGGCTTCTGTCTTTTAATATATCGATGGCTCGATGGTGTGAGACCACATATTACAATGCAGATTCAGATAAGCGCCCCGCTCTAATAAGCGCCCACGGCGGTATTTGCTAATATATTGGCTAGTGAACAATCCCAATTAGCACCCCTTCCGATTGATCAATGTTCACAAGACTTATTTATTCGCGTACAATACGCACTCGTGTGTTATATGCACCCTTAATTATGGGCAATTAAATTCTAGAAAAATATATCTGTCGTACATAAACATTTCAGACTGTCAGCATAAACGAAATTTATCTTTTAACTCTGTTTTTTTTAACAAAATAATATTCTAATAATAGCCCCCTATTTCTAATTTTGAGAGCGCCCTGGGCGCTTATTACGTCGAATACGGTAGTCATTTTGATTGGTTGTTTATTTCAAACTCGCTAGCGACAGACAGAATGTACGAGTAGTGTAGTGATAAAACCGGATGATGATATAGGGAATGACTAATGATCCTGGTATGGCCTAGCTCGTGTAAAGTTTCAGCATTCCCAAGGTAACTCATTTTAAAACGAGGATTGATAAATCCAAGCCCGAACTCTGATTTTAATTATCTTTCTACTCCACAGTTCTTGTCACGGCGTTTGAGAATGGCGTTGCACGGACACTGGTCAGTCTCCGGACAGGCATGTCATTCGGGGTGAGTATGAGACAGGGTCAGAGGCCTGCGCTGTAGTAACGTTACACCACACCCATGTGATTATTTGCATGTCATGTGACCGGATGCTAACTTGTTTTATCTCAGGTTCTTTCAAAATTATTAAGTGAGTGAGTATGGTTTTACGACGCTTGTAGCAATATTCCAGCAATATCACGGCGGAGGACACCAGAAATGGGCTTCACACATTGCACCCACGTAGGGAATCGAACCGGGCATCCGGCCCCCAAAATTATTTACAACTCATGTTTTTGTTTCAAAGAGAATTTATACTAGAAGCGCGACAGTGAGGAGAATTCGACTTGATCTTACCTGACACTTGAATGTCGTATTCTGATTGGCTGAGATCCGTTCTGTTATTTTCAATGTTCCTCGCTCACAGGGGGCGGTAGGGGAGCCTAGTGGTTAAAGCGTTCGCTCGTCACGCCGAAGACCCGGGTTCGATTCCCGATATGGGTACAATGTGTGAAGCCCATTTCTGGTGTCCCCCGCCGTGATATCTCTGGAATATTGCTAAAAGCGGCGTAAAACCCTACTCACTCACTCACTCACTCCTCGCTCACAGGTAAGGTACATTTCTTGTGTTACCAGTTCGAATTGCCGAACTGTTTGCACTACAACTGCAACATATCTTCCATGATTATGTACTCCGAATCAATGTTGAAGACGCTATTCTCCGGATATATACGATATTTTCCGAATGAAATAGATCTAGGGGAAGAGACTTGTTTTCAGTCTTTCGCTTTTTTTCGATAAAAGTGTAAAATGAACAAGAAGTAGATAAATGCCTAATTGTGGTATTCTCACTGATTTGAACCTAAGCATGTTTGTATAAGACATACAATATAATTAAGTGTGTGGTAAAATAGATCCGTGGTCCACCGGACCCCCGTGTGACAGGGCTTGATATCCCCTATAGTGAGTGAGTGAGTGAGTTGGGTTTAACGCCGCTTTTAACAGTATTCCAGTTATATCACGGCGTGTCAGCTTAATGTGGGAGGAAAGACCGAAGTGATGCAGGTCTCTGACGTGTACCACTTCGGTGAAACCCACGAGCACGGGTATGGTGCTGACAAACCTAGAAACATAATTTGGGCGAACCGGGATTCGAACCCACAATCATAGGTTTCTGGCGTGTCCAAGGGACGCAACTCTGCACAGCGAATCGCGGCGCCTTAGACGACTGGGCCACCCCTGCCCCCTTTATGTTAATATAGCACGAACACAGAGGGTGCGTCAGCCATTATCTCACCTTACATTAAAATCCTATCTTGTGATAAGTTAAGGAGCGGGCTTTTATTTTCCATGTGGCCAGTTGAATAATCAATCGGAACACATCGTAGGTAACTTGCTTATCTCGCATAAGTAGCGTAAAGTATCGAGAAGGGAACCGTTTATCTGCATGCACTGGGTGAAGATAAATAACTCTGTTCGTTTTCGTCGTCTGCTACGAGTTGTGCGAACTCGGTGACACTGCGGACAAATATACCAGACCTGCATAAATGAATGTCATTTCAATAAATTCGTCGTCAACCGATCTCGCCGTGAAAAGCTGATGCAGTGTAAAACAATATTCATTCATTCGTTAACCGATCCCTCGGGGCATATAAGGATGTGGTACCTTGTGTGTGTGGCTTTTTAAAGTTGAAAATACTTCTGGAGAATTCAATCATATATTCTGATTACCTCTTTGAAGTTGACAATACTTCTGGAGAATTCAGTCATATATTCTGATTACCTCTTTGAAGTTGACAATACTTCTGGAGAATTCAATCATATATTCTGATTACCTCTTTGAAGTTGACAATACTTCTGGAGAATTCAGTCATATATTCTCATTACCTCTTTGAAGTTGACAATACTTCTGGAGAATTCAATCATATATTCTGATTACCTCTTTGAAGTTGACAATACTTCTGGAGAATTCAGTCATATATTCTCATTACCTCTTTGAAGTTGACAATTCTTCTAGAGAATTCAATCATATATTCTGATTACCTCTTTGAAGTTGACAATACTTCTGGAGAATTCAGTCATATATTCTCATTACCTCTTTGAAGTTGACAATACTTCTAGAGAATTCAATCATATATTCTGATTACCTCTTTGAAGTTGACAATACTTCTAGAGAATTCAATCATATATTCTGATTACCTCTTTGAAGTTGACAATACTTCTAGAGAATTCAATCATATATTACGATTATCTCTTTGAAGTTGACAATACTTCTGGAGAATTCAATCATATATTCTGATTACCTCTTTGAAGTTGACAATACTTCTGGAGAATTCAATCATATATTCTGATTACCTCTTTGAAGTTGATAATACTTCTTGAGAATTCAATCATATATTCTGATTACCTCTATGAAGTTGACAATACTTCTGGAGAATTCAATCATATATTCTGATTATCTCTTTGAAGTTGACAGAACGTCTGGAGAATTCAATCATATATTCTGATTACCTCTTTGAAGTTGACAATACTTCTGGAGAATTCAATCATATATTCTGATTACCTCTTTGAAGTTGACAATACTTCTGGAGAATTCAATCATATATTCTGATTACCTCTTTGAAGTTGACAATACTTCTGGAGAATTCAGTCATATATTCTGATTATCTCTTTGAAGTTGACAATACTTCTGGAGAATTCAATCATATATTTTGATTACCTCTTTGAAGTTGACAATACTTCTGGAGAATTCAATCATATATTCTGATTACCTCTATGAAGTTGACAATACTTCTGGAGAATTCAATCATATATTCTGATTATCTCTTTGAAGTTGACAATACTTCTGGAGAATTCAATCATATATTCTGATTATCTCTTTGAAGTTGACAAAGCGTCTGGAGAATTCAATCATATATTCTGATTATCTCTTTGAAGTTGACAAAACTTCTGGAGAATTCAATCATATATTCTGATTACCGCTTTGAAGTTGACAATACTTCTGGAGAATTCAATCATATATTCTGATTATCTCTTTGAAGTTGACAATACCTTTAGAGAATTCAATCATATATTACGATTATCTCTTTAAAGTTGACAAAATTTCTGGAGAATTCAATCATATATAACGGTTAACTTTTTAAAGCTGACAATACCGAAGGAGAATTCAATCATAGATAAGGGTTAGCTTTTTAAAGTATTTAGTAAATTGAGTATCATGTTTGTGTTCGTTTCCAGTTTGTGTGTGTAGTCCTTAGTAAACCATACACTTGATTAACGCATGACCTCGCAGTTGCAATTGCGTGTGAGAACTAGTAACTAGTGCGAAGTCAGTTACAGTCAGTTAGTACACCTGTCTACAGTACTGGCTAGACTGGACCCCCCGCAACGCCACGTGAATGTGCGATTGTCATCTCGCGCGGGTACCTGTTGCCGTAGACACCTTTGACGTATTCTAAATATTTATCATTTTTCGGCGTATCATGATTGCTGATCGCATATATTGATGCCAAATTAATGATCTAAGACTTTTTTATAAGCGTATCATAAAAGATCATCGTCATTTGCTAATCTTTCATCAGCGTGTCATGACTGAACTATCCACGAAATGAACAATTATAAGTATATTTGAGAACTTTTGGAGGCTGTAAACCGACCCGACAAAGTCAGAGCCAGAACTATGTCATAAGAATGGTTTTAAGCCGCTTTTAGCAATATTTCAGCAATATCACGGCGGGGGACACCAGAAATGGGCTTCACACATTGTGCCCATGTCGGGAATCGAACCCGGGTCTTCGGCGTGACGAGCGAACGCTTTAACCACTAGGCTACCCGACCGCCCTCATATATATAGTACATAGGACAAGCATGGAGTTCAGAGGACCACATCTTCCTGGAACCAACTATGAGACAATGTGTGAGGCCAATATTTGGTCATCAACCAGAAATAGTCCAGACAAGATCCAGCATCAGACTCTTGCCTCACGACTCTCGACTAATGATACTGATACTATTCCATCGAATCCCGAGGGGACAGTGGTTAGAACACGGATGTTGTAGATTATTTTAACCCTGCTCCTAGTAATAATTCCCTGTTTAATTTATCTTGGTAAAGATGTGGTACTTGAAGATTTTAAAATTACATCCTGCAGTAAAGGCATCCTGTTCAGTGACTGTACTTAAAGTAAGGGGCGACTTAAGAGGCTACTATGCTTGTCGTAAGAGGCTCTTGATGTCAATCACTGGATTGTCTGGACCAGACTCGATTATTTACAGACCGCCGTCATATAGCTAGAATATTGCTGAGTGCGGCGTTAAAAAAACAAAAACAACTACAATTATAAACAATGACATCAAACAATTGATGCGTGGGCATTTTCATTTTTATGTAACTAAAGGTCACATTTATGGCAAATGAGTTTTGTATTTTAGTTCTATTTGATATAGGAAAATACATTTCGGTCGTGCAATTTTCGCATGCAATACTAAGATAATGGGTATTGACACGAAAACCGCAGCTGGGTTATATATAGAGGATTCATCACGAGTGTTTTTTAATATGGGAAATATCAACCGAGTCTTAGTTAATCGGTATTTGCCGAGCCTTGGTGTGATGAATTCTATTTATCATTTTCACATTTTTGCTTCCAAATTAAGGAATAATTGCATTAAACATTAACATCAGCAACTTGTCGAAATCTTACGTATAGATCGTGCGTAGTGATACATGTTTTCCATAGCCATGTAAACCAAAATAAACAATTCGCTGAGAAAAAAAGTTCCTCGGATTATTTTAAACAAAAAACTTGAACAGACTTTTGCAGAATAATTGAAACTTTAATAACGGTAACAACAACGATTCTGTGTAATCTGATTATATCTCTGGTGTAACTTCACTTATAATATATAGTTTCAAATCAAACCGCTCGCTCTTCCGGTTATCTAATTTGCATATCTAATTTGTATACTTATGTCATTGGGGTATGACATACATGTTTTTATGTCATAAGCTTATGTCATGGATAAAT